CCTAAGGGGGTAGGAGTGCCCTAAGGGGGTAGGAGTGCCCTAAGGGGGTAGGAGTGCCCTAAGGGGGTAGGAGTGCCCTAAGGGGGTAGGAGTGCCGTAGGGGGGTAGGAGTGCCCTAAGGGGGTAGGAGTGCCGTAGCGGGGTAGGAGTGCCCTAAGGGGGTAGGAGTGCCGTAGGGGTTACTGTCATTTCGGGAATGGTTGAAGAGTAGGAATGCAATGTTGGTGGCGTAAAAGCCCAGGGATTGGCCAATGGTGTTACAGGTGGATGCGTGTTTCTTGAGGTGGACGGGTAGTATTTCTAGGGCCCACCCATCGACGGCGATGTCCTGTGTGGCCATGAGTACGTAGAGGGTGAAGAAGAAGACGGTGAGGGGTCCGACTTGGATGGGATGTCCGTCTTCACCTGCCCACTTTGAAGGCCACCGACCGACGGCAGCAAGAACCATGACGGCGGAACAAAGGAGCTGGACGGGGACTAACCAGGACTTACGGCGTCCGTGCCCTCGTAGCTTGGTCGTATCCACTACCGGTGCCCACAGCAGCTTGAGCGAAAACGGCAGAGAGGCGAACGAAAACTTGGCCAGGTCCTTGTAACTCGCGCCCCGACCTTGCAATGATAACGGCAAGGCCGCAGAAATACCCATTGGCACCGCCTGAATTATGTACAAGACCAGCAATAGCCCGATGGTGAATGCCACCGAACGCTTGCCCGTCATTTTTCCAGCCATCACTACACAAAAAACACTGCCCCCAAGAACCACCCCCAAAAGACTACCCGCCCGCCTTTACCAGGTGAGCACCCTGGTAATAATCAACGACTAAAATCCCAATCAATATTAGGACGACGGACAAATCAGTCCCTAGTTAGTGGTCCTGTGGCAATGAAGTTTTTCAGGAAGAAGAGTACCAAGGTGCCTGTTGCGGCTCAGCGTTGCGACAGTCACGCAGTCGTGCTGGAGCAGAACGCTCACTACCGGGCAAAGATTCAAGCGATGCAGAGTTTGGGAGGTTGCAAGCAGGTGGAGACGGAGGTGGTTAACCCTTTCACCGATAGCTTGCGACACCGCCTGTTCGAAGCCTTATGGTCGGCGGTTAAGGAAAATCATTTGGAAAGATTTTACAACGGGGAGAGGGTAGAACAGCTGGTTGAGAAGCATGCTCCCTTTTATCCCGCCGTGCAGAGCCTATGCCGTGCCTGGAACGTCGAGCATCTGACTTCGGACTTCTTCAAGCTAGTGCTCTATGACGTCGTCTTCCTCTGCTCAGACGGCCCCACTATGGCCACCGAGGAACGGATCGATGACGCGAAAGCAAGTATTCAATACTTGATGGAGGTCCGCAAACAGATTTATGGAGGCAGTGCCGGCGGGGTGAAAGTCCGCTTCGTTAACTCGTCGTACGAACATGACAACATGCAAACCAGCCAAGACGTCGAATGCCTGTTTGCCAAGGTCAGCAGGACCGGGGACAACAGCCTGTGCAACGCACTGAAAGACAAAATTATAAACAGAATGATCAAAGGACCCTTGAGACACCGTAACGATACCACATATGCACGTGCCTTACATACGCGTGCCCTATACACACACACACACATGTCCTGCGCACA